AAAAGATCTTAAAATCAATACAAATGTATTTATTATAAACGTTAGTCCTTAACATCTATCACTGTGTATATCACCTTTCAAACATCTTTTAAAAGTTGAACAAACCCCACACAGCTCAGTAAAGACTGTGAAATGTTGACTTTATTAGATCATTTCAGTAAAAACTAACGTTCATATTTCTCTTTTTGATTATAATACTGCTGAACGTTCAAAACAAAGCACTTTGGCAACTTACCACATACGTTTTAAAATGCTTAATAAGCACCGTAACTTTCATGATATCATTTCTCGGTCATAATCGGTTGTTTCCGTGAACGGCCGACTGTGTGACAATGCCGCGGCCGCAAGGCATTGTGGGGCAGCATTTTCTCCTCTCCTTTCGGTTAGGGAGGTCCAGTGGTTCCTAAGCTAAAGGAGGTTATAAAGGAAGTTTGAAACCTCCTTTCCTTTTAATTTAGAGAATTCGAACGGCACTTATCATGGCTGCCACTGAGGGACTTCCGGGTCATTTCACTCCGTTAGGAAGGTTCCTAAGCTAAATGGACTATTCGACCGCAACCCCGGTGTCAGTACCATATGTGTTCCATGTGTTCGCCCTACCATATGTTTTCGGGGTCCGTCGGTTACCAATGACGTCACGCATTGTGATTGGCTGTACGGTAATCGCACGCTGATTGGTGTAACTAGGGGCGCTGACTAGGGTATACCGGGGGTCTGATCAAAGGATGAAGCTGTTAACGTGCTGCTACCATAAACTGGCTGTAGCCCACAATCTGAAGCAGAATGGTCTAGGGCTGTCCCGAATACCATTTTTCGGGCTCCGGATATTCGGTAGTAATCAGCAGCGAATATTCGAATATTCGGCCCGCGCGGGGGGGCGTAGTAATCAGCAGCGAACCGCTTCAACACGTGTATTTCGGTGTATTCACGGCATTCATTTTGTTATTCTACAGTAGTGTTGTTTTATAGTTATTTGTTAATGTAACCCAATTTGTGTTCTTTGAAATTGAAAAGGATATCGCATTGTGTTTGTTACTTTCGTTGCAGTTGTATACGTCTTAAGTGTAATTTGGCTTGGCTTCCTATTTATGGACATGCTTTTATTTTGAAGGAGAGTTAGCGCAGTTGACAGGAAGTTGTTGTTGCTTTGGAAACAACGTGACAGAGATTAACGGAGAAAAGTAATATCTACATATAAAGACGGAGAAAGTAAACGATAACGTTTATGATTAAGTCTTAGCACCCCCCGAAGAGGCACAAGCTCTTAAATTGATATTGGAGATTTCAATAAATTCAATTTGAAAAAAAAACGAATATCCGAATAACGAAATTGAAACCCGAATAGTACTCCAACGAACGAATATTCGGATATTCGGGTACAGTACTTTATTATAGTATTCGGGTACAGTACCCGAATACTATAATAAAGTTATAGTAAATGATAACAAACTCCAGTGTTAGAATTCCATAATTCCATATTCATAAATAAAATGATATGCAAATAACATTTTCTTGGCTGTGGACTTGTACTCTACATAATTATGTTGAGCTCATGGTAATCTAATTCAATAAACAATAACTGCAATGAACAGATAGCATTTTCTGACTCGTAAAATTATTGGATATGGTGTAATTTGGTAAATGATTCCGTGTTGAAAAATGTATCTTTAAAAACTGCGTTGGTGTATTAGGGCGGGCCATACTATTTTTTTTTTGTAAATCGATCGAGAGGGGTGTTCAAATAACGTATGTTGGTGTGTAGAACACACATCTATTTAGATTTATTTATTTTGAAGTTGTTGCTATGGAAACAACATGACGGAGAAAAAAGTAATATCTTCTACATATAATAACGGACAAAGTAAAGAATGAAGTGTATGTTTAAATGTTAGCACCCCCCGAAGAGGCTCAAGCTCTTACGTTGAGTCTGGAGTTTCAATACATTCGGAATTTGACCGTGTAAAATGTCCTCTTGGGTTACCGTACAGCCAATGCGCGACGTCATTGGTAACCGACGGACCCCGAACACATCTGGTAGGCCGTGGGTGTTTCTCAATCGCGAGTACGCTTGCTTGGTAGCACATGTCTGCCGAGCATCTTGCTTCAGAAGCGAGTCAAGAATACTTCCTGGCATTCGTAAAACAAAGAGTGGAACAGGCTAGCAAGTGTGCAGGTGTGCGTCATATGAGAGGCCCTGCCTTACATCTTCCGCCACAGATTTGGCAAAATTGGTCCGTGCGCAAAGCATTGTGGGGATTTTAAGACCGCGGAGTCTACTCATGTGCAGCCTCGATATTTCTCCAAACGGAGTACGCCGGGCTCGGTAGATTTCACAAGTATGCTGGAGATTGGAACAGTACTTCGGCGGCACTCGATGACGTAGTATGCTTGAAATAGTGGCTCTGAAGCAGCTTTACTCGCGATTGAGAAACACCCCGTGTCACTACCCGATCTGTCCCCCTGCCCGATCTGTACTGCGCATGTGCGAGATGGTCCGCTATATTGGACAACTACATACGGCAACTCTACTAGGACACTTGACACAGTGGCTTTTGGCAAAGCAGAAAAAGAACCGAGAGAGATTATTGTTATTACAACAACGTGACTTCACTATTATTTAACAACTCTTTTTATTGGGTTGTTTTATTTGGGGTTAAATACATTGTCAGAATAAGTGAGACATGGATTTAACTTCTGTTAGACAGCTATCATACTGAATAAATATTTACTGTGAATGTATGCAAAAATGTATGGCATATAGCTGTCTAACAGAAGTTAAATCCATGTCTCACTTAAAAACTGATCCAGATTTGAACACTGTCCTGACGTCAGGACAGTGTTCAAATCTGGATCAGTTTTTATCAGATCCGTTGCAGCCCCTTTTTTAGAGATTTGGGTATGGAGGAAAATAGAGAGGGTTGTGTTTTCTGACACTTGGTGAGTTCCCTGGAACACCGGGGACACATATTCATGTAGATAAGACGTACAAAAGTGCATTTTGCATGATAGGTCCCCTTTAATGTAATAAATAATACATGCAAAAGAACTGTAGTTTTTGTCCATCATATAACTATATATACAACGTTATAGGCTATCAAGCTATCAGATATGTTTTGTGGCTCCAGACAAAAATTGGTGGAAAAGGGGGCAAAATGGCTCTTTTGGTCAAAAAGGTTGCAGACCCCTGCCATAGTTTATGGGCGCTGTACGCTATGAATGCCTAGTTCTGCTAAGATAGGATAATAATATACTTTATTGATCCCAAATTTGGAAATTGTTTTGTTATCAAATATCGTTAATACTATTAATATTTTTTTTTTCTTCCCCCCAATTTCCGGCGCCCCCCATGGATGGATTCACCTACACTGCCTATGCCAAGGGCCGGCCCTGTTTGACTCAGAGATGATTTCAATACTAACCTGTTATAACTAAAGCCTTGAGGTTTAGTTCTCACACAAAGCAAACACATCATTTTCCAACCAGCAGAAACACTTTTGAAATCAGCTGACTCTCAGAGTTTCATGGATTATTAAAGAAGTTTTATTATTTTTTTGGTACATAGCAAATGACAGCATTTATTACAGTGATGTTGAACATCGTCATGATTTCTGGAGGATTCTGCTGTGTTCAGAATTTAAGACAATTTGCTTCGTCGTAATCTATGGAAACGAAATTGGTCAAAACTCTTCATTATAAGATCTAGTAGAATTAGTGATGCAATAAATTGAACTACTAACTAACAAATGTGTTTAAAAAAAGCAACATTCTTCATAACAAAATCAAGCAAATTCTTACGAAATAATGATCAATAGTTTTTGCTAAAATCTTAATCGGTGAAAGCAAAATTCTTCAGAAATGCAAAAACTGTCTCAACAAAATCAATCAAAATTCTTATGAAGCAAAAACATTTCTCGGTTCCAAAATCACAACACTTTGTTTACGGACAATGTTAACATTTTAAGTATGAAATAATTAGTCTCCTGAATTTGGGAAAATCCTAAATCACAAAAAATATCTGAATTCTTTGAAAAAAGCCAAATTCTAAAGAAATGTAAATGTTTCATAAAAGTCCAAAAAAGTAATGATTACATATTATTGATCATCTTGTGAAATAAATTCAATCCCCAATAATAAAAAACAAGCACATTTCTTGATCACATAACAAAGCACATTACCTTTTCAAAAGGTTGTTGGTATGTTAGTATTTAATATCTTATGAATTTGGGAATGCTCTCCAACAGGTGGAGTTCTTAAAAACAGCTACATTATTACAAAATACAGAAAATACCATAAAAAATGTAATTAAAATTCATAAAAAGTAAGAAAAATCCTGAATGATTGAAAATGATTACAAACTGAGCTCAGTACATGTGAAATAAGAACATTAAAGAAAAGTTTAAATCTTATACATTTTGGCAAATTACAAATATAATCAGATTTCTCTAAAAAAGCTATTTTTTTTTACAAAATACAAACAATCTCTTCAGACCAAAATCAAGCTGAGTTATTCTGAAATAAAAATGTTCAATGAAAAAACATCAGCATTGTTATGAAATAAGAAGTGTTTGGACTATTTACTTTTGCTCAATTCCTATTTGTATATTGTTCATCTAAATCTGGTCCTGCTGCTGAAATGACCCATGTGACCCACAAGGGGATCAAATATCCCATCTCGCTGATCAGATGAATTGTTGTGAAAAACCTCAGATTTTATAAACTGTACTTTGTCTTATTTGTTGATTGAATATAAAAAAACATTGTTGTGCTCGAGGTCTAGAAATCCAACACTAGGTGGCGCTGTAACGCGTTCCTACTGTTATCTCAGGAATCACTACATTAGATTCAAACACTGGGTATTGAAACACTGTTTCTAGAGGATATTTGAACATTAATATATGGCATTAATTGGCCAACTTAGTTCCTGAGCGGCCTGGATTGGTGTGTCTGTGGTTTCAAACTGCACCGACTGCATTGACTTTTCATAATAAAACTAACTTGTGAAGATCTTCATCTTCAGTGGGAACCAATGGGCTTGGAGCTGACAGGAAGTCAGGAAACATGAGGCACTCACACATTGCTGGTGACTTTCAGAGTAAAAGCTATATTTGCTAACGTTGGTTAAAAGCTATAAGAGCTGATAAACCCATGTGTGTGAGAGGAGCTCCTTGGAGCTGCTACTCTGCTCCCTGAGCTCCTTCCTCTTCAGCAGGAATACCCAGGTCATCATAATCCAGCTCAATGTCCTCCTGTCGGCTCGGCCTCCGCCCCCTGGTGGCCTGGAGAGAAATGACAGCACACAATGAGACTTCCTGCATCACTCCTGTTCAATAACACACACTGTTTCATTCAGTCAGTGGTGGAACAACAACATGTTTCAGTACCTCATCATTCAGTCAGTGGAACAACAAAATGTTTCAGTACCTCACCATTCAGTCAGTGGAACAACAACATGTTTCAGTACCTCATCATTCAGTCAGTGGTGGAACAACAACATGTTTCAGTACCTCATCATTCAGTCAGTGGAACAACAACATGTTTCAGTACCTCATCATTCAGTCAGTGGTGGAACAACAACATGTTTCAGTACCTCATCATTCAGTCAGTGGAACAACAACATGTTTCAGTCCCTCATCATTCAGTCAGTGGAACAACAACATGTTTCAGTCCCTCATCATTCAGTCAGTGGTGGAACAACATGTTTCAGTCCCTTATCATTCAGTCAGTGGAACAACAACAACATGTTTCAGTACCTTATCATTCAGTCAGTGGAACAACAACATGTTTCAGTCCCTTATCATTCAGTCAGTGGTGGAACAACAACATGTTTCAGTCCCTTATCATTCAGTCAGTGGAACAACAACATGTTTCAGTACCTCATCATTCAGTCAGTGGAACAACAACATGTTTCAGTACCTCATCATCCAGTCAGTGGTGGAACAACAACATGTTTCCGTACCTCATCATTCAGTCAGTGGTGGAACAAAAACATGTTTCAGTACCTCATCATTCAGTCAGTGGTGAAACAACAACATGTTTCAGTACCTCATCATTCAGTCAGTTGAACAACAACATGTTTCAGTACCTTATCATTCAGTCAGTGGTGGAACAACAACATGTTTCAGTACCTCATCATTCAGTCAGTGGTGAAACAACAACATGTTTCAGTACCTCATCATTCAGTCAGTTGAACAACAACATGTTTCAGTACCTTATCATTCAGTCAGTGGAACAACAACATGTTTCAGTACCTTATTATTCAGTCAGTGGTGGAACAACAACTAGTCTCAGTACCTCATCATTCAGTCATTGGAACAACAACATGTTTCAGTACCTTATCATTCAGTCAGTGGTGGAACAACATGTTTCAGTACCTCATCATTCAGTCAGTGGAACAACAACATGTTTCAGTACCTTATCATTCAGTCAGTGGAACAACAACATGTTTCAGTATCTTATCATTCAGTCAGTGGAACAACAACCTGTTTCAGTACCTCATAATTCAGTCAGTGGAACAACAACATGTTTCAGTACCTTATCATTCAGTCAGTGGAACAACAACATGTTTCAGTACCTCATCATTCAGTCAGTGGAACAACAACATGTTTCAGTACCTTATCATTCAGTCAGTGGTGGAACAACAACATGTTTCAGTACCTCATCATTCAGTCAGTGGAACAACAACATGTTTCAGTACCTCATTATTCAGTCAGTGGAACAACAACATGTTTCAGTACCTCATTATTCAGTCAGTGTAACAACAACAAGTTTCAGTACCTCATCATCCAGTCAGTGGAACAACAACATGTTTCAGTACCTCATCATTCAGTCAGTGGAACAACAACATGTTTCAGTACCTCATTATTCAGTCAGTGGAACAACAACATGTTTCAGTACCTCATTATTCAGTCAGTGGAACAACAACATGTTTCAGTACCTCATCATTCAGTCAGTGGAACAACAACATGTTTCAGTACCTCATCATTCAGTCAGTGGAACAACAACATGTTTCCGTACCTCATCATTCAGTCAGTGGTGGAACAACATGTTTCAGTACCTCATTATTCAGTCAGTGGAACAACAACATGTTTCCGTACCTTATCATTCAGTCAGTGGAACAACAACATGTTTCAGTACCTCATCATTCAGTCAGTGGTGGAACAACAACATGTTTCAGTACCTTACAGTAGAAGTAAAGGCCGACGATCACCAGCAGCTGAGTCAGCGGCAGGACGACGACTCGGATGATAAAAGGTTCTGGATCTGATCAAACACATGGACAGCATCACATCAAGAGTCAGCAAACACACAGAGACCTGAGGCCTGTACTACGAAGCCGAATCTTCGCTTAGCCGGCTGACTTCAGGGAAAACTCTGGCTTTCCGGTCCTACGACGCTGGTTCTCTTTTTAGCGGGCTAGATCTCCATGGTAACTTATGCTGAGGTTAGGTTGCAGGCTAAGAGATTAACTCAGTGAAAGCACCGCCTGCTGACCAATCAGAGCTCCGTGTGAGGAGTTTAAAGATCAAGTCATATTACAGGAGAGAGGAAATACAGAAAAACTGCCGTTGCAGGAAAGACGGCCGGCAAAAATCAACTGACTGTGTGAACGGGAAAATTAATAGAATATCCCCTCCCATCTTCAAAGCAATCTGACTATTATAACATTAGCGTTAAGAAAGCTTACTTAAAGGGGACCTATCATGCAAAATGCACTTTTGCACGTCTTTTATACATGAATATGTGTCCCCGGTGTTCCAGGGAACTCACCAAGTGTCAGAAAACACAACCCTCTCTATTTTCCTCCATACCCAAATCTCTAAAAAAGGGGCTGCAACGGATCTGATAAAAACTGATCCAGATTTGAACACTGTCCTGACGTCAGGACAGTGGCGCTACGGCTATTGGGCCGACTCCACCTATCAGGAGGAGACAGCCACGGCCATTGCCGTTCGAAAGCGATGGAGACGCTGTAGTACATATGCCAGGCCAGTAGATGGTGCTGTTCTCACTGAATCTGCCCAGAGCTAAAAAATGTCAAATTGAGCAAAATGAGGCATGGCTAAAATGCATGATCTGTTTGGTATTTTGAAAAAAAAAAAGTATAAATATGCCTTATATAGGTATGGTCCTACACTATAATATTCAAATATAGCATGATAGGTCCACTTTAAAGATCTGCCACAACATAAGTAACCGGATCAGAGTAACATTACGTACAGTCCGCGGCACTGTGAGTGCAGACGTCGATGTGTCCCATTATCATTCATATCATATCACATCATAATGTATCATATATTTCCTTATCTGAGTCAACTGAGCCGTATCTGGCCGTGCAACACTCACAGTGTCACATACTGTATGCAGAAGTATTATTTTAAGCAACACATTAAGTTGACGAAAAACACTCGAGTCAAATGTAATTAAAGTCAGATCGTGTATTGGACGGGGCAGTGATTTCATAAACCTGTTAATGTACGCATTCAAACACTTTTTCTGTTACCAGCTGTATTCACCTTGCAGGTGCAGCTATGTGGCTTTGATCCTGGATAAAGTGTTTAAGTCATGGATGTTTAAAGTTTAACTTCTTCATATTTGTCTAATATTAAAGTTCACTTTTCATTCAGGAAGTATGACGCTGCGCTGTCAGTACGCTTGTCCATGTTTGTGATTGGTCGAATGCTCCAAATACCACCCCTTTCATGTGAACGCGCACCTAACTAGATAGGACACGGCTGGCTTGAGCAATCCACTTGATAACCAGCGTCGTAGTACAGTTTAGCGAGAGCGCGTATGTTTTGGATTAGGCCAACCAGTTAACTCAAACATATCCAGGTTAGGAAAATCCGGCTTCGTAGTACAGGCCTCTGAACCCACTTCAGCATGGAGACTCCTCTCTACAGTTATATTACAATAAACTACATCTTCTTAAGATCTTAATTACACCCCAACCCTTTTCCCTGTTCATACCAGACAGTAGGACTGTAGGGAGAAGCTGCTAGCTGTATCTGTTAAACACTCAGTACTCATGGCAATACTCCAATGTAAACTACAGCTGACTGGAGAATTGCTGTTCTGGATCAACACATTCTCACTCCCAACTCGGCCTATGTTGACGTTATGTCAGGGTCCCTGTCGTCACCTTCCAACGCAAGGGAGCCCTTAGTTACTCCAGGGAGAATGTCCCTGCAATCGGTAATTGTAAGTCGCTTTGGATAAAAAGCGTCAGCTAAATGAAATGTAATGTAATAGAATAAGAAATGTTCAGAATATGACAGTTTAATGGTGTAGGTACACACATATCGATAGATGTCTTGTAATGCACTGTTGAGGAACCTGCGACCCAAGTTTTTCATCTTGTCAGGTATTGAACATTCAATAAATAAAGAACACAGAATTATTCAATATAAAACACAGAATTTGTGTGATTATACTAAATGATTTACAAATAAACACCACTGCATATTTACAACTGTTACACATGCTGCTGTAACAAAAACATTTCCCAACTTGGGATCAATAAAGTATATCTTATCTTAAGACGATCGATGGCTACTGCCATATTTGCAAAATGTGCCGCTGAACCTTGACAAGTGCATGTTTCAGGCTTATCAATGAACAACAGGAGGGGTCACAGACATAATACCAGCTGTTAAATAAAGCTCTTCTGACCTTAGCTGTCATGTGGGTATATATTAATGCTGCCCATTATGGACACAAGCAATTTTGACCCATTTATTAATTATATGTTTTAAATTTGAGTGTTTCCTATCCCCTAAACCTCCAGGGTGTACACAGTTTAATACTGGCAACTTCTTATTATGGGAAATACAAAAACGTCTTTTAAAACTACAATTCCCAGCAGAGACGTGCCATAGAACATGTTGCGAAACACACAATAGCCAGCATGTGTAGTTCTGGGAACGGGGTGGGGGAGGGGGGGACGGGGTGCGTTCAAATCCAGTTTTGGACAGTCTGCCGTGGTTCCATCCCATTTCAAAGTGCTGTTCGACGCTCGGCGTAACCCTCGGCGCACACTCAAACATCCAATCACAGAGCTTGAGGACTAATCACGGGGTTTGTCAAGCGAAGCGGAGAGAATACATACTTCCGGGTGTAACATTCTCTAAAGCAACTACTATGAGCTGCTCCGACCCTCGGTCCTGACGGACTCCAAAAGTCCGACATTATACAATCAAACAAATAAATAAACACAAGGATAATAGTGTGTTATTGTTGAGTAAATAACAGCGTGTGGTTTAGAAAAGAATACAAAATTAGAAGGAAAAAACGATGAAACAATACAGATGTCAGTTTTCTGAGCCCCTACTCTCCCCCTAACTGACGGCAACAAAAGTCCTACATTATTCAATTAAAATAAAGAAGTAAAAACAATAAGTGTGGCTTGATATTGAGCGTTGCGTTGGAAAGTGACGACAGGGACCCTGACATAACGTCAACATAGGCCGAGTTGGGAGTGAGAATGTGTTTCATGTGTTCACGGTTCATTGCACTTATTGTACGTTGCTCTGGAAAGCTACATGTGATGTCAGGGTGTGACTGCTTCAGGGCTCACAGTAAAACACTCAGTCCTCACCAGCGTTCTCCTGGGGAGCATCACGCTCTGTCCTACAGTAAACAGCTCACCTGTGACGGTGACGGAGAGCAGACGGCTCTCAGAGGAGAAGTCCTGAGAAAAAGCAGAGACGTGATAAACACAGCTGTAGCTTCCCTGGTGGGCGGGCTCTGCAGCCGGGAACAGGAAGTGGGCAGAGTGATTGACAGCTGGCTCTGAGTTGGAGTTGTTTGCTGAGTTGATGGAGGTGAAGTTGAGCTGGAAAGAGCCTCCTGGGTACTGAGGCTGGATGGAGCAGCTGATGGTGAAGGAGGAGCCTCTGAACACCTGGAACCCCTGCTGCTGGGCCCCGGAGACCCCGTACATGGAGGAGGACACAGAGATGTTGGGCTGAAGCAGCTTATCTGTCAACACACAGAGAGAGAGAGAGAGAGAGAGAGAGAGAGAGAGAGACGAGTAGGAGAGAGAGAGACGAGGATGAGGAGAGAAGACGAAGACCTGCGAGTCAGAGAGAGAGCGAGGATGAATTGAGAGAGAGAGAGAGAGAGAGAGAGAGAGAGAGAGAGAGAGAGAGAGAGAGAGAGAGAGAGAGAGAGAGAGAGAGAGAGCTGCCCCAGCAGCAACAATAACAACAGTCTCTGTGAAAACCTCCTCTCAGTCTGAAGACACCGCTTTGAAGACATTACAAAGAGCTTTCAGTCTGTGACAGTCCAGGTAGCAGAGAGGGATTGTCTCTTTGTCAGAGAGAGAAAGAGAGACTAACAAAGAGACAGAGGACATGATGTCATAAACAATGTCCCTGATGGGCTTACCTGAGCAGGTGAGATTCAGGAAGAAGGAAGAGGACTCTGATGCTGCACACTCCCTCAGAGCAGATCCAGACTCAACACAGTCAGAGCTGATCTCCCACACAGGTCTCTCTGAGGACTCATATCTCCGTACCAGAGAAACAGCAGAGCCACAGTCGAGCTCTCTGCAGGCGACAGCTGCTGCCTTCAGGGTCCAGGGAGAGAGATACTCCACTGGTCTCCATTCTCCCTCATGTTTCACCTCCAGGTCTCCTGCACAGCGACTCTCTCCTCCCACCAGTCTGACCGGCTCTGAAGAGAAACAAGAGAGTGATCAGAGAGAGAATAAAGTGAGTTTGATGAGAACAGAATGAACCAATCACAGCTCCTCTCTACCTGAGCAGGTGAGGCTAACAGCTGTGCCAGGTGAGCAGGTGTTTCTCTCTGAGGCTGAGCTACAGTCCAGGAGAGCAGCCTCATGGCCTCCACACTGGAACTCTTTGGTCCACATTGGAGCCTCCCCTTCTCCATAGAGTGCCCCCTGGAGGACTGAAGGAGCCCCACAGCCCAGCTGCCGGCAGACCACCTGAGCATCCTGCTGGTCAAAGTCAGCCTCACACACTGAGGACCAGGACGGGTTAGACGGGTTAGACGGGTCAGAGTTCACCTCCAGTCTGCCTGAGCACAGACCAGTCCCCCCCAGCAGCCTGACAGAGTCTGCAGAGGACAGAAGATCAAACAGAGGTCAAAGACACACCATCAAAGAGATGAAACTATATTTCAGAGATTCAAACTGGACTCAGTTCCAACATGAGTTGATGATGAACAACATAACACATGTTGATAAGAACACAGACTGCAGGTACCCTCACATCTACATCTGATACCCTCTAGCAAGTGGTCTCCATTAGTGAACCCTTTCCCTGTGTCTTCAACAACACCTCCTCCTCTGCAGATCCTCTGCTCCTTCTGCTCAGCTCCACCTCTGCTCTCACACAGACACTTTCAAAAGGTTTCATTCTTTACTCTCACATGTGTTATCTGATTGATGTTTGTAAAGACCTTGTTCTTAAATATGGCGTCATCATTGAATTCAAGCTGCTGTTTGTTTATTGATCTCGTGTTTTCCATTAAATGGTGAATTGTATCATTCTAGAGGTGGAGGCTCTACATCACATCCTCCACCCTGATCCTCAACACCGGTGCCCCTCAAGGCTGCGTGCTCAGCCCTCTCCTCTACTCCCTGTTCACTCACGACTGTGAGTGAACACCATCGTGAAGTTTGCTGATGACACGACCGTCATCGGCCAGATCACAGACGATGACGAGACGGCGTACAGAGAGGAGGTCGAAAACCTGACATCTTGGTGCCAGGATAACAACCTCCATCTCAACGTCAGCAAAACCAAGGAGCTGATTATGGATTACAGGAAGCAGCAGGGAGAGGGACACGCCCCCATCGCCATCAATGGGACTACGGTGGAGAGAGTCAGCAGCTTCAGGTTCCTCGGTGTCCACATCACTGAGGACCTGACATGGACTCATCACTCAGGACCTGACATGGTCTCTTCACACCACCACCATCAACAAGAAAGCTCGACAGCGGCTCTTCTTCCTCCGCAGGCTGAGGAGGTTCAAAATGGATTCCAGGATACTCTGCAACTTCTACAGGTGCACCATAGAGAGCATCCTGACCTTCTACAGGTGCATGATAGAGAGGGTCCTGACCTTCTACAGGTGCACCATAGAGAGGATCCTGACCTTCTACAGGTGCACCATAGAGAGCATCCTGACCTTCTACAGGTGCACCATAGAGAGCATCCTGACCTTCTACAGGTGCACCATAGAGAGCATCCTGACCTTCTACAGGTGCACCATAGAGAGCATCCTGACCTTCTACAGGTGCACCATAGAGAGGATCCTGACCTTCTACAGGTGCACCATAGAGAGTATCCTGACCTTCTACAGGTGCATCATAGAGAGGATCCTGACCTTCTACAGGTGCACCATAGAGAGGATCCTGACCTTCTACAGGTGCACCATAGAGAGGATCCTGACCTTCTACAGGTGCACCATAGAGAGCATCCTGACCTTCTACAGGTGCACCATAGAGAGCATCCTGACCTTCTACAGGTGCACCATAGAGAGTATCCTCACCTTCTACAGGTGCACCATAGAGAGTATCCTGACTGGCAGCATCATGGCCTGGTACGGCAGCTGCACCGACCTCGATCGTAAGGCTTTACAGAGGGTGGTGAAAACTGCACAGCACATCACCAGGACGGAGCTGCCATCCATGGAGGACCTTTACTTCCAGCGGCTCAGGAAGAAATCCCTACGGATTATCAAAGACCCCCATCACCCCAGCCACAAACTGTTCTTTCTGTTGCCGTCTGGCAGACGTTACCGCAGCATCCTGGCAAGGACAAGAAGATTCGGAGACAGTTGCTTCCCGCGGGCAGTGAGACTGTTAAACAATTGAACTGCTGAAACAACTTCAAAACATTCATCTGCTACTTAGTAATATATATCTAATATATATCATTCCAATAACTTGTATATAGACTCGTACTGCACTATTCCACATGCTCACTTTATTTTATAACTATTTTTCTTTTGTATTACTTTTACTATCTGTATTATTATGTTGCATTTTTGGAGAAGCCTGTGACATAAGATTTTCAACGACATAATTACTCTGTAGCTATGTCAGTTTGAAAATAAAGAACCTTGAACCTTGAAAACAGACAAACTAATTAGGCTTTATTTAAACATGAAATAATACTTTAGGTTAAGGTCTTCTTTTAAATACATGTAAGCAAAAAGCTTTGGGGGTATCTATATTAAGCCTGACAAAGTACTTAACGTTTAATATATTGCATGGTTTGTTTTGGGATTTGACAATCAACTTTCCTGCAATGTTAACTATGTTGAAGCACTAATTTTAACCGATATTATACATATGTATTATACTCTTATAAGATGTATGTAGATAGAATAAGAAATGTGCAGAATATGACAGTTTAACCTGTTTAGCCCTGAGCCTGTTTTTCAGGTCTCAGGCTCGAAAATGACATTCCCAGAACAAATGACCATATCTTCCCTTCTAAAAGCGTTACATTAATAATCTTTGTTCTCAAAGTAATGATAAACCTGTGAGTTGGATGTAGAAAAGTCAGAATCAATATAGATGTTTTTTATTTTAAAGAAAATTCAGATTTTACATAGTAAAAAACTGTAAATTATAGTGTCCGTCCAAATATTCTTTTTTACTTATCGTGAAAACTACCCTTGGATGATGGGTTAGTAGACTAAAAGCTTTAAGAATCCAAAGTACAACATATAATAAGTACCCTGTATCAAGATTGATGCCAATAGAATCGAAGGGGGAGTCCCCCACACACACGTTGTGAAGAGAAGAGGTGGGGGCTTCGCGCATGTAATTTTGCATCTGAGTGAACCTATCTCTAGCTTTGACATCTGGAAACGGAAAAGCAGCTTATGGATTATCAGAAATCATTTCAAAGGGACACAGACACATTGGATTAACCTATGGATTAACTTCAGCAGCGTTTTTATCGTTTTAATGCCATTGAAGACCACTTTGGAGAGACTACAGAGCCAAGGTAAAAATGTTGGCATTTTTAGCTACCTAGCGTCACCTGTTTTGATGTCCGTTTTTGCTTATAACGTCGCAAATACGTATAATTCAGTGGTAATGTCGGTATCAATCGATTCTGTGTCACCTCACGATGTGAAACGATGTGTTGGATGTAGAGAAAAGATAAATAATGAGGTTTTGTGAGTGATTTTCGGTGCAGTAAGGTGTTAGCATTTTTCGCTCGTTACTAATTCAGAGGCTCAGTGTTAGCATTGTGGGTTTTCTTTTGAAAAAAATAATCAGTTAGATGAGTTTCTTCCCGTTACATGGATATAAAACATTCATAGTTTTATTAAATGAACATGCCCTCAGACACTTTTCTGCAAGATGTTGCGGCAGTACCCCGGTACCGGGGTCTCTCGGGCTTAACAGTTTAATGGTGGAGGTACACACATATTGATAGATCTCTTGTTGAGGAACCTATGACCCAAGTTTGTCATCATTGAATAACTACACCGTAGTTGTGTATATGATATTTCAATAAACCTTTGAAAATCTTGAAATCTATGAAAGGTATGTGCAAAATAGCCATTATATACAGTTTTTGATGAACAATTAGAGAATAACGAGTAATGAATATACTTTATTTAAAGTAACTAAAATAAATGTAGTACAAATACCAGGTTAACCTTAAAGAAAGCCCTCAGGATTATAAAAGACCCCCATCACCCCAGCCACAAGCTGTTCTGTCTGCTATTAATTTTTTACTATTTTACTATATTTCTTTTTGTATTTACTTGCACTATTTTTTCTGTGTATCTGTTTTATTGTGTTGCACTGATGGAGGAGCCTGTGACCTAAGGGGGGGGGGGGGGGGGGGGGGGGGGGGGGGGGGTAGGACACGTTCGAGTCTTGATTTGGATAGTGTGCTGTCGATGGTTTTCATTCATACAGGGTGTTTCTCAATCGCGAGTACGCTTGCTTGGTAGCACATGTCTGCCAAGCATCTTGCTTCAGAAGCGAGGCAAGAATACTTCCTGGCATTCGGAAAACAAAGAGTGGAACAGGCTAGCAAGTGTGCAGGTGTGCGTCATATGAGAGGCCCTGCCTTACATTTTCCGTCACAGATTTGGAGAAGGGTCTAGCTGCGGCCACGGCCAGTACACGACACTACACGACACGCCCACTACACAACACGCCCACCTGACACGACACTACGGTGGCTGAGAGACATTACCGTACATGGCAGATTAAAAGCGAATTGACGACACTTATTATTATTGAGATCGTACATGGCAGATTAAAAACGAATTGCAAATGTTATTGTAGCATTTTAAGCAACTATTAGGCAAATAAATTAATAACCTAGTCTATCCGTTTGAGACACAACAGTATAACTTTCAACCCAAATCATTTAGTCAACAAACGGTGGTTTAGTAAACTTTTTTTTAATATATAAAATAGGTATTAATGAGATGATCTATTGATTATGTTTGTCTAACTGCTACACATGTATTTATACATAAATGTAGATATTTGTGAACATCTAAATATAGTTGTTAAAGGTTTTAAGATATACATAATCACATCATGGGGTCATTAAGGACCAAATTAGGAGGGCCAGTCAGGCCACTAATGAGCTCAATCATTCACATGTATTATTATTACTTTATAAATTAAAAGTACTAGGGGTCTATTACAAAACCTTTGAAGGAATCAATTAAAATAAATGTATGGCAAGTATGATCAAATTAACATAATGTCAAGATATAGCCAATAGACAATCAACATGCTTTGAATATAAAGGAAGAAGAACAATAAACAGATGAACATTTAGGTTTTATGTGTAAATTGTGAACAAACCATCTTAATACATCTGGCAGTCTAAGACAGCAAACTAAGCTTCTTTAACTGCTGCTAGAACACAGTTTTACCATGGGGTATTTCTAACAAGACCAAAAAGATATACAAGGCTTCCAAAACAGAAGAAACCAACTCAATACAGTATTTTAATTTCCTTCAAAACGACAAAAGCACTAATAAAAACCAAATAACAATAACATAAAGGAAAAGTAATTGAAGTGGTTGCCTGTTGTAAATACCTTGGTATCTGGCTTGATGATTGTCTCTTCTCTTGCGTTTGGTCATACCCCCCTTCCCATACTATTATCGGTCAAAATTGGCCGGTGTGTTTTGCACAGTGATATTTCTGGAACCCCTTATCCCATTTTGATGGTTGACATCTCATTTGAACAGTCAAAGCCAGAATGACAGCAGGGGTAAATTTCATTTTATAATTTTGCAATAAGTCAAAGATATGTTTACTGTATATTATAAAAATGCTTGTCATGTAGGCATACTGGAGATGGGAAGGCTTTAGTCAGTGTTGTAGCTGAGATTCTTACCGTTCCAATGATGTATTAATAATAACTTGGATTTATATAGCGCCTTTCATGAGACCCAAGGTCGCTTTAAAAAGAACAGGAGTAGAAACAAACATAACAAAAGGCAGTTAGACGAACAGTTAGACAGACAAAACAAATAGATTTGGGGCCAAAGACCTTGGTAGACTTGAGGGCCCTTTTGAAGGCGTCAAGCGTGGGGATATTGCAGATCTCCGCAGGGAGAGCGTTCCAGAGAGTGGGGGCTGCCATACTGAAGGCTCTGTCCCCGAAGGATCGCAGGTTGGTGCGGGGGGCCAGAGTCTGAAGACCGCAGGTTCCGGGGTAGGGCATGTGGGAATTGTATTGATTTGATACAAGCAAGCCAGTGTTTCATTGTGTACTTTCAACTACAGTATATGGTCCGGCAAGTTCAGCATTCACTGCATTCACTGTGATGAATATACAATAAGACACTGATACCGTTTTCCTCAATGAACATTTATTGAACAGAACATCATGTGGAAAATCAGAGGGGCACTATTCAAGCTGGTCTGCTTAAAAAAAAAAAATAACCTTTTAAATTGATCCCAACAGTAAAATCAACATGATTTTAAATAAAAATGTAAGCAGCCAGGATTGACCTGCAGGAGGTTAAAGCCTATTTAAAAACTCCTCGGAATCCAAAGCTCTTCGGAATCTTTCACTGGAGTCCTTCAGCCTTTGGTGCGCTTCCTCACTCATGTTCTTGGTGAGGTAATGAGAACAAAGTTCCATCTCACTGATAAGACAAGATGGTATAAAGAAGTCATATATGTAATATTATAAATTCACATGCATCAGGGGTTGTACACTTTAAATGGAAATTGTATTAGCATTCTCCTCATGTTTCCACCTTACCTCCAGTCATACTCGGGTCCAGATATATACGTTTCCTTGGCTCTTTCAAGGTAAACCGAGAGTACAGCTGCAAGGGCGTGGACTGTCGCCTGTGTCATGAAGGGATTAAAGCCACACGTTTAACAGTTAGAGTAAAATGTAGACATCCAATAAAGGTTGTGCCATTCTGCAGGTGACAATTATGCCAGACCAATTGGCATCAACATTCTACTGGACATTGACCATGAGTTTAAGTGCAACATATGTAATTTTATATAATGTTTAGTCGACAAATAAAAAGTCAGTGAAATCTAACCTCTGGCAGAAGCACATCCATGACGAATGCCACCTCATCTGTGAACCTTCTCTCCGTCTGTGTCCGGACGGAAGGTGTCCGAGTCCAATTTGTTGAGCTCTGGGCGTGCTCCATCACGGAGTGTTGTGTTGTTTGTCTATAGGTGAATAAAATAGAATACAATTTCAGTGACTTTAATATTGGAAATAGTTAACTCCTTAAACAAGCAGCAATGGACTGGCCTGTATAATCCTATGGGACAAAGCTGGTCATACTTCCTCACTTTCAGAAGGTAACCCTTTAACTGCCAGCGCCACCATTTGGGAGAGCACATTTTGTGTCTTGATATCTTGTTGAAAAAAAAAAAAGTTTAACTCCATCTGATTCAGCCAGCTCTACCCTTTTGGTTGACATGTTATGCACAAAACAACCTCTAGATGTCACTGTGGTTCGAACAGAAAGCCCTTCAGCTAGTTTAAATCTTTATATATACAGCCTATGGTTTAAATGTCAGGCCTACAGCATGGCCACAAACCCCATCTAAAAACAGAGGCCTCCAGATTGCATCCACCTGGGTTACTTGGCTCTACCCAATAACTATATATCATTTAACTTTAAACCACACTTAAAATAATAATATAATTATACATATGTGCATGTCAGTATAGCAGCTAATACATGTTTTTTTTTTTAAAACATTCAAATGTGAAAGACACCTTCAATGAATATTTAAAACTTACACAAAATCAGATTCTTGTAAAAATGCGAGTACATGCATTGTTCCATCTGTCAAGCTAAAATATATACATATATCTTAGCTCTTAGCTTGACATGCTAACTGAACGAGCATGTTCAGTTAGCATATATGCTAACTGAACGTCGAGCATGTCAAGCTAAGAGCTAAGATATATATATATATATATTTATATGTATTCCATTCCTTTACATTTAATATTTAAAATACAAATTAGCAAAATAAACACAATTACACTGCGCTAAACAGCCACATCGACAAACAAACGAGAACCTAAATAGTATGTAATTATATCTAAAACCACAATACGTTAATTACCTGTACTCGGTGCGCCATATTGTTTGTCTGTTCTCTGAACCTCATGTCTCTTTAAATATCCTTGCGTCAGCGTCAGTGTCGTCAATTCGCTTTTAATCTGCCACGTACGGTAATGTCTCTCAGCCACCGTAGTGTCGTGTCAGGTGGGCGTGTCGTGTAGTGGGCGTGTCGTGTAGTGTCGTGTACTGTCCGCGGCCGCAGCTAGACCATATTGCAGATTTGGGGAAATTGGTCCGTGCGCAAAGCATTGTGGGGATTTTAAGACCGCGGAGTCTACTCATGTGCAGCCTCGATATTTCTCCAAACGGAGTACGCCGGGCTCGGTAGATTTCCAAGTATGCTGGAGATTGGAACAGTACTTCGGCGGCACTCGATGACGTCTTGAAATAGTGGCTCTGGAGCAGCTTTACTCGCGATTGAGAAACACCCAGTGTCTATGGTTTCATTCCATTTCAAACTGCTGTTTGACGCGGTGTAAACTTCGCGCATTGCCACTCCAACATCCAATCACAGAGCTTGAGAACTAATCACGGGGTTTGTCAAGCAAAGCACATGTTGTAGTCCCAAACGATAGCTGAGGATTCTGGGTAGTGTAGTGTCTTCTGCCATCTTAAACTCCGAAAAAAAAATTGTTTCTCAGAATCGAAGGGGAAAAACACAAAAGCATTGTACACAATTTAAACCAATCAATGTTGTGTAATTAACAAGGATAATGTGGTGTTTCTGAGTTGATGAGTAGTGCAGATATCTCTGTCAAATCAATCGACAGTAAGGAGAATACTTACTTCCGGGTGTAAAATCCTCCGTTATCCAATGGGAATGGACGCTCACATTGCCTTTAAATGCCGCCGACATGGACCGATGCCGTGCTTCCATGAGCGTCAAATACCGCCGCCGATGGGAATACATTGCAATCAGTTGAAAGCTCTTTGCGTCCGTTTATGAAGCTGAAGGAGCCTCGGCGCGTCACAACTGCACGCCACGGGACCCTGACCAAGCGTCGCTCCTGGACGTTTAGGGAGTGAGAGTGTGTTGGCCGACGCTCTGCATAGAGATGAGCCCAACCAGATCCAACTGGTAATGCTCCACCTCCCGCACAAGCTCCGGCTCCTTCCCCCCCAGAGAGGTGATTGTAAAATATAGCACTCATTTACAGAGTCACAACATGGATTGTTGTGACTCTGTAAATGAGTGCTATATTTTCCTCCTTCATCTGCGGGATCTGCGGGACGCCCTGCGTTGTGTTTGTGCCGCACTGCGACTATGTGAGCTATTTAGGCCAATTACAACAGGCCATTTTACGTTGGCCTGTTATGATTGGATAGAACATCTCACACAACAGAAGCCTGATTACGTCAATAAATGTTTCTTCTACTTGTATGAATTTATACAATTTAACCTTATTTTTGCTCTTATTTTATTATCTAACTATATTTTCTCTCAGTCATTTTTGATGAATGAGTGGGTGGGCTACTGGGTCTATAGGCCCACCCACTCATTCATCAAAAATGACTGAGAGAAAATACGCCCGGCTGCTTCATACACTGTTCATCATTTGTTATTTGGGTTTGTGTATTTTTAAATTGTAAAAACAAGAAAATGAAAACAAGAAATGAAAATGTCATTAATGATATCACAGATGATGTCACAGATGATGTCACTGATGATGTCACTGATGATGTCACTGATGGGCTTACCTGAGCAGGTGAGATTCAGGATGTCTTTAGAGGACTCTGATGCTGCACACTCCCTCAGAGATCTAGACTGAACACAGTCAGAGCTGATCTCCCACACAGGTCTCTCTGAGGACTCCTCTCTCTCTCCCACAGAAACAGCAGAGCCACAGTCCAGCTCTCCGCAGAGAAGAGCTGCTGCCTTCAGGGTCCAGGGAGAGTCAGAGCCCTCCACTGGTCTCCATTCTCCCTCTTGTTCCACCTCCAGGTCTCCTGCACAGCGACTCTCTCCTCCCACCAGCCTAACACCAGGCTCTGGAGAGAAACAAGAGAGTCGTGTACCTTCATTGATATTAGCATATTTTTTATAATTAATCATTTATACTATTAATACTTCCGAGTGATAATCAGATCATTAACTCCAGCTCTCTATAAACCAGTGGTGGGAAGTAATAAAGTACATATACTCAAGTACTGTAAGTACAGGTTTGAATTACTTTTCTGGAGTATATCGTTTTATAATACTACTTAGGGCTGTGCAATTAATCGTATTTTAATCGCAATTACGATTTTGGCCTGCCACAATTACGAAAACAACATAATCGAAAAAAACGATTATTTTGCTTTGCTAGGTTGTGACAGTGCACTGCAACATATTTGATCTAATTTATTTGTATTTATCATATTTATATTTGTTTAGTAGCTTGTTGAAGTGCGCTCCAAAATATTTGTTGATCTTGTTTATTGGTATTTATTTAAATGTAGATATAAATGTATCATTTACATTTATTTTTGTATTGGTTTTTTAGTTGAATTATACGCTCAGGGAAATCAACAGTTAAAAAGATACTGTTCAAATTATTATTTGTATTTAAAAGTTCAATAAATGGATGTTTTCAAAGTCAATGAATAATCGTATTTAATAATCGTGATATCAATTATTGACCAAAATAATCGTGATTATGATTTTTGCCATAATCGCACAGCCCTAATACTACTACATCACATGTATTCACAAAATGAGTTTGAGGACTTGGCAGGTTCATATTATTAATAAAACAACAATTTAATGATGAAGTTCTCTTATAGATAAAGATACCTAGAAGTATAACAAGTCATTAAAGTTATCTCCACCTTTACCAGCTGCTACATTAAAAGTGATGTTCACATGAATGGATCATTGATTAGAATCCAGACTATAATATATCATTATGAAAGTAGTCGTACTATGAGTCGTATTAATGATGGTACTTTAAGCATTATTTGATCCTATTACTTTGACCTGAGTACATTTCAATACCAGACTTGTTCTTGTAGCAGTATTTCTACACTGTGGTATCACTTCTTTGAATCAAGTATAACATCTGACTACTTTCCCCACATCTATAAACTAATAGGACCTGAAACATGAAACATATGATTAAGTGGAGCTAAAAAACAGTTCAATCAGAAAGCAGAACTTAGAGATTAGTAGCATGTTTATGTGTGGCTCTGTCATTTGAACCCTTTGGTGAACATGTGCAATATGGTTACATGTACGTTTGTGTCTCTCTTTTTACACAAGAAACAAAATCCCCAAAAAAAAAATAAAGATTTTCAACAAAAACTGAAAAAAGGAACACAAAAGCATTTTTTCTGATTTTGTTGTTTGAGTCCAAAAACCATATCAGCAAAATCAAATAAAAAAATTGGCCGATTTAATCCGTGTCAGGTCAGTGTATGTTTTGGTCATTGGATTTTCTTTTCACAAATGGATATTCAAACACAAAAAACGACTGGATATTTGATTTTCGTTTTAAAATTGAAAAACCAAAATTGAAATACAAGGCGTTTTTCTTTATCGTGGTTAAAAAGGGATTTACTAAACTTAAAAAACGGGTTGATTTTCATTTTCTACTTCTCAAAACAAAAAATAAAATCACTAGAAAACCGAAACAAAAAAACTACGGTTTCTTCATATTCTGCTACCGGAAGTTACCTTTCAAAATAAGAGCGCAGACGAGGACGGTCAATCCGTGTATCTGCGGTCCATTTGTTTTCACAACGAAAACAGCCAAGACACACATTGAGCCCAGAAAATGAATGTTATTAAGGGCTGTAAATATAATAAGCCTTTCTCTAAAATGGACAACATTGTTAGGAGATTTAAACTATACAGCGATTCTGCACTGCGTCACTCAGCTGCTCTTCATTTGCTTTTCAAATCAGCTCCTCTTCATTTTCTTTCCTGCTATATTCAATGAGTGATACAAATATTTGTTACCACAAGTTCCTAATACAACTGACACTGTTGGACTCGGTATTGGTTTAACTGCTACCAGAAATAAAAGGAAGTACTTTACTGTGTACTTTGTGAGTAATCCTCTGTCAGAGTCCCCTCCATAGTACATAATGCATGTTTTTTGCTATCTTTGATGAGTGATAAAAATAAAATGTTACCATTAGTTCTTAATGAAATTGATACTGTTTGACTTTGTATTAGTTAGCCTACTACTAACAATACATTGAAGTACTTTTACTGTGTATTCTTTGAGAAATACTCTGTCAAAGTCCCCTGCTGAGAACAAAATCAAGCCCATTTGCTAATTTTGATGAGGGAATTCTTTTTTGTTGCCATTAGTTCTTCGTGAGATTGATCCTGTTCAGTACTAGTGAAACTACTGTAAGGGTGATGCCCCATGATCACAAAAAGATTCCTCTAGAGTCTGAGTGCCAAGGACCTCATATTATGTCTGTCATTAATGTTACATCACCCATTATAACAGTTTTCTTTCCTTTTTTCTCTTCTCTTAACTGAATAGTCCTGTCTTTAAGTATAACCCAATGTAAAGTCCTTTTCCTGCACCATTTTAAGGCTTCATAAGAGGCATGTTTACTGTATGTGTTTGGAGAAATAACACAATCAATGGCCCAGAATTGTACTTTATAAACTATGAATCTTGTGGTGCTTGAAGAAATATTACAACATTTGCATGTTGAACTACATGCTGATATATCTTCCCCAGCCTCAAGGAAATACAATAAAATAAATGGATTCATAATTTAAAAAATTGATTAAAATGTATACATTAATAATGTTGTGTGCAAACATTTCAAATTCAAATATTAAATGAAAAGAAGTTTACTTTTGAAATGATTTCTCACAAAAACTTTTCTAAATTATAGTAAATTATTTTAAAAGTTTTAGTCAATATACATTTTTCTGCCTAAAATAGTTGAAATTGAACGTAAACTATATCAAACACCACATCCATGGCAATTAACCAATTTGTGCCCGATTTCCTCAGCTCAGAGCCTGACCCCAAACATTGATGAACTTGCACCCAAGATGAGGTGCCAAATATCTGGCTTGAACTAGCTTCACAGAGCAGCACACTGAGTTTACATGGATGTTTCCTTCTGCACTTTTTCTCTCACGACAACAGGGCATGTTTGGTTTTCTCTTTGAGGGAAATAAACCACTTCTGGGGTCATTTGGGTGGATTTTCCATATCTCTGGCCCCCCTTGCTCGATTTTGATGGTTGACACCTCTTTCTGACCGTTAGAGCCAATAGAATCGAAGGGGGAGTCCCCCACACACAAGTTGTGAAGAGAAAAGGTGGGGGCTTCGCGCATGCAGTTTTGCATCAGAGTGAACCTATCTCTAGCTTTGACATCTGGAAATGGAAAAGCAGTTTTATTGCTTATGGATTATCAGAAATCATTTCAAAGGGACACAGACACATTAGATTAACCTATGGATTAACTTCAGCAGTGTTTTTATTGTTTTAATGCCATTGAAGACCACTTTGGAGAGACTACAGAGCCAAGGTAAAAATGTTAGCATTTTTAGCTACCTAGCGTCACCTGTTTTGATGTCCGTTTTTGCTTATAACGTCGCAAATACGTATAATTCAGTGATAATGAGTGTACCCTTCGATTCTGTGTCACCTCACGATGTGAAACGATGTCATGGATGTAGAGAAGAGATAATTAATAAGATTTTGTGAGTGATTTTCGGTGCAGTAATCTGTTAGCATATTTCGCTCGTTGCTAATTCAGAGGCTCAGTGTTAGCATTGTGGGTTTTCTTTTGAAAAAAAAAAAAAGATCAGTTAGATGAGTTTCTTCCCGTTACATGGATATAAAACATTCATAGTTTATTAAATGAACATGCCCTCAGACACTGTTTCCTGCAAGATGTTGCGGCAGTGCCCCGGTACCGGGGTCTCTCGGGCTTAACAGGTTAATAACATTAGTTTTCTGGGCTCAAAATGTGTCTTGGCTGTTTTCCTTGTGATCGCTAAATTCACCTTGTTTATAATATTATCACAGTTCCAAGCAAACGAGTGCTTTTGTTTTGAAATCAGTTCCGTGAGTTTCGCCCCGCCCCTCGCTCCAAGGACCATTTGACCATTTAGTAAGGTAAAAAGCAAAAAGGCCTCTCAGACGCTCTTCCTCTACTTGTATAATAAAGAAAAACAAATGGACGGTAGATGCACGGATTCGATTTTAGATTATAAATATGGGTTTATTGGTTTTCTGTATGGAGGTAGAAATAAATATACAAAAATAAAAGCCAAGAGCATTGAATATCTATGCTGTAACATTGCAATCTCCCAACCTGACAACAATAACCAGATAACATAATGCAACCTCTGTGCAAAGCTTTAGTGACCTACGGTTCAATGAGACTACATGAACCAGCTATACAAATACTGGTCTTCCTAATCAATATTATTAATAGTCATGTTAACAATTATATATTTTAATTATTATTAATTCATTATATTTTTGAGCTAGTGAATTTACTATGATGCAACCCTATTCATGAATAATGTTATTAATATTAATGATGATTATTATGTGTAATCAACCAGACTTGCTCACAGGAGAACCCCAACATGGTTGTAACATGTGATGATCTGATGGAGAACCCCAACATGGTTGTAACATGTGATGATCTGATGGAGAACCCCAACATGGTTGTAACATGTGATGATCTGATGGAGAACCCCAACATGGTTGTAACATGTGATGATCTGATGGAGAACCCCAACATGGTTGTAACATGTGATGATCTGATGGAGAACCCCAACATGGCTGTAACATGTGATGATCTGATGGAGAACCCCAACATGGCTGTAACATGTGATGATCTGATGGAGAACCCCAACATGGCTGTAACATGTGATGATCTGATGGAGAACCCCAACATGGCTGTAACATGTGATGATCTGATGGAGAACCCCAACATGGCTGTAACATGTGATGATCTGATGGAGAACCCCAACATGGTTGTAACATGTGATGATCTGATGGAGAACCCCAACATGGTTGTAACATGTGATGATCTGATGGAGAACCCCAACATGGCTGTAACATGTGATGATCTGATGGAGAACCCCAACATGGCTGTAACATGTGATGATCTGATGGTATTTATAAAGTATAATCATGAAAAGTGGTGGTGATGAAAAGGTGATGATGGTTTGTTGTTTACCTTTGAAGTATATCCTGGTTTCCATGGTAACATGATAAATGATGAAACTAGGATCAGTTAGTGGTGAAGTCTTTAAACTACATCATGCTTTATGATAAAGGTTGTTTACAGACTGTAATCACTTGAAGAGTAACAGGGTGAATACACTGAGCACTGTACCTGTTGAGGTGTGTTCTCCTTCAGCCTGGAGTCCTGAGGAGAAATCAGAAGATAAGGTAAACAGAGTTTTCTATCATCTCAGGAACACGTCAGTGAACTCACTCTGGAGTCATTTCACCAGTTTACTAAAGCTGAGAATAACACGTTCATACAGAGAAGTCACATATTCAGAGTTAAAGCAACAGTTCAGATTAGAGAATATGCTCCTTCAAATGAGTCATGGAGCACCATCATCACACTGACACATGTTCTACAGCAACAATTACATTAGGAGGAACCACAGAGGATGCTGCCAGTTCCCACCTTCTGCTGTCACCTGAAGGAGGAACCACAGAGGATAGCAGGACAAAAAATGAAGAGCAGCTGATTTGAAAAAAACAACGCGAGAGACAGCTGGGTTGCCCGCAGTCCAGAACCGCTGTATAGTTTAAATCTCCTAACAATCTAATCCATTTTAGACACAGGCCTATTATATTTACAGCCCTTAATAACATTCATTTTCTGGGCTCATTGTGTGTCTTGGCCGTTTTCGTTGTGATCGCTAAATTCACCTCGTTTCCCCTCGTTTATAATATCACCGTTCCAAGCACACGAGTG